TTCAGCTGATGTCAGTTCGTGATGAAAACCCAAAAAACTAAATCCTAACGCTTACCATCAACTGTAAATCATTATTTTTATTCCTTTAACTGATTTATAATGTTCATTTGGTAGGACGAGCCAATCAGAAGCGTCTGAGGAATTCCAAGGTCACTGCGCTAAGTACGATGCGAGATGCTCACATTCGGTCGTTTTACAGCAGATTTTAGAGAAGAGGTGATTGTTGAGCGACTACAACAGATGGGACTATTAAGAAGTTCCTAAGTCTGTGGCTGCGGCAATAAAATGACTGCAGCACGATGTGCAGACTACCGAGATGACATTGTATTTCGTTGTACTATATGTTGGAGATAAAAATCTGCTCGAACTGGCACTTTCTTTGCGCGATCACGGCTTAGGCTCAGACAAATCATGATAATTGTGGCAAATTGGATCATAAAGTCTCCAGTAACATTAGCAGCGGCTTTTGCAGATGTCACGGAAACTTCCGCTATTCAGTGGTATGAATATTGCCGTGATATATGCGCAATGAAAATGACACAAGTACATGTATCATTTGGGGGAGTTGGAAAGATAGTGGAAATAGATGAGACAGTAGTTAGAAAGCGAAAATACAACAAAGGACGTTTTATCAAGGAAGATTGGGTAAGTAGCACTTCCGTGAATATACTTGACAGGTACTTGAATTTTACGATCGTTCAACTCAAAAGGGACATTTTAAAAGAGTGAAAAACCGTAAGGTTGCGACAATAATACCAATCATCAAGGAGTACGTTCAGCCTGGCACCACGATCTATACCGATGATTGGAAAGTGTATAGATGCCTCTCGAGACTTGGTTTTGTGCATCATGTTGTAGTACACAAACGTCATTTTGTCGATCCAATGACGGGGGGTCATACAAACAATATTGAAGGCATGTGGTCTAGGCTGAAATATTTTTTAAGACCCTACCACGGCTCCAGAGGACGATTATTATGGAGCCATATGGACGAGTTCCTATGATTTCAAAACTTCTGAAACTTGATCAAACCTTAACAAGTTCCTAAATTATGTGAAAGAAGAATATCCATTGTAATTCATCAGTTTTTTTATAATATATTTTTACTTTATACTAACTCTCTTCTGATTGGCTAATGTTCTCAAGGTCACTTAAACATACGTTCAAAGGTCGTCCATAAAATAGAGTTTCACCGTTTATTTAACCCGATTAAGTAGGTTGACACTCTCAAGATCACTTTGACGTCGCTCATAAGTCGTCCATAAATCCTAGTTTCATTGTTTCTTTTTTTTCTTCTCGAATTAAACTATTCATTAAATTGACATAATTGTTTTATGAATTAGATTAACTAAATATTAAGTATGGAAGATATATGTAGACCATCAACAATCATATGAATTATGTTAAGGCTTCATGTTTGATCCTATGAATAACTTCAAAATGTCGACTTCAATAAGACTAGTTAAATAATAGTTTCTTTATATTATACTATAAGATTTGCTACAGTAAAGACATTCTGTATCTATTATCATTATTAATCATATATTGTATACATGAACTTTAATATAGTTATCTCTTCTAAAGATAGAATTGTCATTAAATGTATAATTACTTACTTACGTTTTCTGGTTAGCGTTTTTTTTAGCGAGTTAGTTTTCTACGGGATGAGATTACTAACCCTATGCCCTACTCTCCTTCTTTATTCGAGCTTGGAATCGGCAGTAGACTCAGAGAGGTCCCGGGTAGAATTCAGTAAATGTATAAAGAACTCTAATGTATTAGGTTGAGTTTTTTTTTTAGTTTATCTCTGATTGAGCAGTAAGCTTTTTTTAAAGACAATGATATATGCTGTTAACATTCTTAACTAGTCATTTATAGTTCATATAAAATAAGAATGTCACATTTAACAATTAGTTTGTTCCAATAATTGAAATCATGAATCAATTAAAGCTAGATCACCATGGAAAACCTGGAAGCACTAGACGGCCATTTCGTCCTATTGTGAGAATCCTCAGCAATGCGCATCCACGACACCGCTCCCCCCACGAGATTCGAACCCAGTACCTATCAGTCGCACGAGCATTCAAAGGTGTTAATGTCTAACAGATAGGTACTTTAAATGTAATTCTCCAGTTCTGTAATCAATATTTGAAAATAACTTTAATAATCTTATCTGATTATTGATTATTAACTTGACCAAACTTTAGGTTATCTTTAAAAGTCGATAATATGTTAATTTTACGTACGCCTGTTACCCCTCGTGGAGGAGCATAGGCCGCTCACTAGCATTCTCCATCCAGCTCTGTCCTGAACAATCCTTTCCAGTTGCTATTCATTCCTTTATATCTGCTTCCAATTCCTGATGCAGTGTGTTCCTTGGTCTATCTCATTTCCTTTTCCCTTCACAATTCAAAGTGAGTGCTTGCCTCGTGATGAAGTTTTATTAATTCAGAAATGTGCATCCTATCCACCCTCAGCATCTTTTCCTACTTTGCTCTTCAGTTGGAAGCTGGTTTGTTCTCTCCCACAGTAGGCTGTTGTTACTGATGGTAACCGGTCAACGAACATTGAGTATTTTGCATAGACAATTGTTTACAAATAGTTGTTCTATTTTGATGATGGTTGTGGTAGTTGTCGAAGTTTCAGCTGAGTAAAGTGCAACTGTCTTGACATTCACACTGAAGATTGTGACTTTGATATTGGTTGAGAGTTGTTATGAGTTCCATATGTTCTTCGAATATAGGAATGCTGCCATGATTCTGTCAATCCTTGCTTTTATGTCTGCACAAGATTCTCCTTTTTCATTGATGATGCTGTCCAGGTACGTGAAACTATCCACATCTTCTAGAGTTTCTCCATCAAGTATAATTGTGTCGATATTCTCTGTGTTGAATTTGAGGATATTGCTTTTGTATGTAAAGGCCTACCGATGCAGAGGCTGCTATTTCACAAGTTTTCTTGGCCTACATTTGTTGGTATGTATGGGTTAGAAGGGTCATGTCACCTGCAAATTCCAAATCATCTAGTCACATCCTAGTTGTCAATTGTATTTCGTGATTCTCCTGAAACATAGAAGTCTTCATAATCCACTCAACCACCAGAATAAAGAGAAAGTAGGAGAATAGGAAGCCTTGTTTGACTTCAGTTCTCACTTCGAACGGGTCTGTCGATTGTCTTTCATACACGACTTTACACTGTATTCCACCATATGAATTCCTTATGATATACACCATAGTGTCCAATAAGTTTTCATATTGTTCTCCTATCTATCTTAATCTATTACACAAGAATAGAATCCTATCGCATATCATATATATATATATATATATATATATATATATATATATATATATATATATTCATTTGTATCCAAAATATACATTTCTTTTCTTTAGAAATATGCTCGTCAATTGAAAATTGAACGTTCTTTGAGTAATCTATCAAATATGGTCGATCAAAGAAATCCTGATAATATGTCCTATGAATGTCAAATGGAAAAAACTCTTCAAGTAATCTTATCTTATATGATTACATAATGGTTTAAGTTCATTTTTGATGGTTTTAAATATTATTAATAGAATAATTTATACAATAATTACCAAGTACTAGCATTGTAGTTAACGAGAACACAAGTGGGGGACAACTAAAATGTTTGTGAATACAGAATCACAGAACATCTTAGTAAAATCTGAAAATCATACAGTAAATAATTCATCTCAAACTTCATTATTCCTTTGTATCTACAGTAATCATTCACTGTTCTCGTTCTCTTTTCTTTGATCTTCCTTAACATTCTGTCACTGGGAATTTCAATTTCGATTGATGTTACATACTACTTATATCTGTTGACATCAGTAGCATACACTACAGTTAGAGTAGAATAGTGAAGTGAAATTAATTTATGCATCATAAGTATGAGAGATAATTGTCCAGTTAGAAGATATGAAAAAGATACATTGAAAAATTTGGAAGTGATAGTCATTAGAAAAAATTACTTACTTACTTACTTACTTACTTACTTACTTACTTACTTACTTACTTACTTACGCCTAATACCCTTCATTCAGGAACATAAGCCTATTACCAGTATTCGCCATCTAACTCTGTCCTGAGTAATCCTTTCCAGTTATTATTCATCTTTTTGATGTTTTCTTCCAATCCCCGATGCAGTGTGTCGTTTGGTCTTTCTATTTTCCGTTTCCCTTCAGGATTTCAATTTAGCACTTATCTCATGATGCAATTTTAGGGTTTCAATAATGTATTTCCTGTCCACCTTTAACGTCTTTTCCTAAATTCCTCTTCACCTTGAAGCTGGTTTGTTCTTTCTCACAGTAGAGTGTTGCTGATGATATCCGGTCAACGGACATTGAGTATCTTGTGTAGGCATGCTAGCCAATATACATCTTTGCTTAAAAAGCTTGCGACTTAAGGTTATATCGAGGCAATCCGCACAGGATGCACATATGCCAACATGAAACTGATCAATTTTAGTCCTAAATAACAATGGGAAGATACAAGTAAAACAACATCAAGTGAATTTAAACTTCACTCCATTGCACAAGCAGGTGGCTATTAGGACTCAGTAGCTAAGTGGATAACATGATGGCGTTTGGAGCGAATGGTACTGGGTTCGAGTCGCAGAGTGAACATCAACTTTGAGATGCAGGTACATCCAGCTGACGCGTCCCAAATAGTACGAAGTGCTCGTCCTAGATTCCACTGCTAGCCACTATCCATCTTTGCACGTAAATCTTGAAGATATTAAAAGTATCCACTGAACCTATAAATCTCCATACTACTAAGATGTTATAGGAATGAAATTCTAAGAGGTATATTATCCAATACATTCTGTAAACCGGATTGTTTTAAACTATCTAAACGTATTGTGTTTTCAAATGATAAAGCTCAGAATTATATGTTGATTATGACTTAGTAGTTGATGGAGTCATTGAATGTCTACGGAAGTTATGAATGAAATTCCATGGTTCTTCATTGTGATCTTTAAAATTATTTTATTATCAAAGACTTTGGTTCAAAACTGATCTATTGTTTATCTTTGCCTTAACTACAAAGTTTGATTATTGATTTGTCCTTTCCTTCGTAACTTTATTTCTTTCTTAGACAGTAAACCTAATACTTAATGATACAATTTCTTTGTATTAATTATATGAATTTCAATAGTTGAGATCATGAATCAGTTGAAGTTAGATCACCATGAAAAACCTGGAAGTACTAGATAGATGTTTCGTTCTGGGTTCGAATCTTTCTGAGTGGGATTGTGGATTCACACTGTTGAGGAGTCTCACAATAGGACAAAATGATCATTCAGTACTTCCAAGTATTCCAATGGTGATCTAGCTTCAATAAACTCATGATCTCAACTATAATATCTACAAAAATCTCCCCTTTGGATATTCATATGAAATTTATAATTAACAGATTAACTACAAATCAACTGTTTGAATTAGAAAATTAAGCTACTTAATGTTTTATCTTCTTGAATATTGTATTTAGAAATTACATGATGTTATACAATTGAGACAAAAATTACTTCTTGAACGTGCTACATTAAAATCTCAACTTGATAAATTATTACAAAGATCTGTTAATGATGTAGATCTGATTGTTGGTGATGACGATGATGATGATGATGATGATGATGTTGACGTTGATGTGGATTTGGATGGTGGTGGTGATGGTGGCGGCAGTGGTGGTAGTATTGGTGGTGGTTTTGGACAAAAACAATCAAGCAATTGTCAACTACATGTAAGTTAATTATGGAACAAGTATTTTAATTTATTTAATGAAGTAATAAGAAGGATTCATAAGTTAATTGGATGTGTCTCTGTAGAGTTACGTTCTATAAGCTGAATGATTTAATCTTGGAACTTTGGTTGTAATCTCTACCATAATCGTAGGTATCAAGTTCAGGTGAAATTGAATGGTCAAAATCCTGTTAATTAACATATTCACATTCAATAATGTTAACTTATCATATGATCCGAGGTCAATTGAACTGAATAGTTAATGAGAATCTAAGGACAAATAAATATAAGAAAAAAAAACCCAGAATACAATGAACAATAAGTAAGGTTAACAGGAAGGACTAATTTAGTTCTTTGATCTCTCAGAAATTTCACTTTTACTTATAGTACAATTAATGAAATTGTCCGAAAAAATATTGAACGTTCAGTAAATTTAATCATCAGTGAGACTATCATTTATGAACGACATTTGAGCGACATTCAAATGACCATGATCGTGTTCACCTAATAACTGGGATCAAATAAGAGGTATAAACCTGTGTGAGGAATTCAAATTATGATGTACAGTTGATGGTTAAGGTAAGAAATTAGATTTAGGATTTGCATCACGAACTGACATCATTTAAAGTGCTAAAACTCTATTTAACCAAATGGATGAGTGAATTTCGCGCCAAAATCCGAGACCTGTTTTTTTTTACATCTGATTGGTTTGTCCATAAATTATAGTCTCGCCCTTAGATAATCCTATCATAATAGTTCATTATTAAAAATTATTTAACGTATTCTTTTAAAATTTAGTTTATACTTTGTATCAGAGTAAATACTGTAAGCATTTCAATAATAAGTTAGTTAAATTTATAAGTCAATTAAAGCTAGACCATGATTGAAAACCTGGAAAAACTGGATAGCCGTTTCATTCTAGTGTGGGACTCCTCAGCAGTGCGCATCCACAAAGTTAAACAATAACACTTATGGATGCCGACTAGATCAATAGTCTAAAGGTTAAGGATTTGCGCACGAGACCGATAGTTTCTGGGTTCGAACCCTGTGGTCCAGATCGTGAATACGCACTGCTGAGGAGTCCCATACAAAGACGAAACGGCTGTCCAGTACTTCCAGGTTTTCTATTGTGGTTTAGCTTTAATTGACTCATGAATACAAATATTAAAAAAACAAAATGGTAAATTATTTCGTATAGATAATATTCTTACTTACGCCTGTTGCTCCTAACGGAGCATAGGCCACCGACTAGCATTCTCCAACCCACTCGGTCCTGGATCTTCCTTTCTAGTTCTATCCAATTTTTGTTTATTACTCTCATGTCTCTCTCCATTTCTCGGAGTAATGTGTTCTTTGGTCTTCCGCTTCTCCCTCGGCCTTGAGGATTCTAGATGAGGCCTTTCCTTGTGACTCAGTTGTATGCCTTTCTCAATATGTGTCCTATCCAATTCCAGTGCTTCATCGTGATTTCTTCTTCCGCTATAATCTGGTTTGTTCACTCTCACTGTAGGTTGTTGCTGATAGTGTCTGGTCAACGAATTCGAAGTATTTTGCAAAGATAACTGTTAATAAACACTTATATGTTCTAGATGATGGCTTTTGTAATTCTTCAAGTTTCCGCTCCATATAGTAGAACTGTTTCGGCATTTGTATTGAAAGTCCTAACCTTGATGTTGGTTGATAAACAGTTGTTTTGAGTTCCAGCTGCCAGTCCAAAGCCCGGATAAAAGAAGAGGGTTGAGTATGGAGTTGGCGACCCTATCCCTTAGAAAACTAACACGCTAAAAAAAAACACTAACCAGATAATATTCATTTCATGATAAAAAGATAAGAAAATGTCTTCATTGTTACATAATATCCCTATTACATAATCTTACAATTTCAATATGTAAATTAAAATAATTCGATGTAATATGAAAAGATTAATTTCAATGAATTGTACTTTTAATTTTAGGAAGCTGAAGATTCTAAGTCTAAAGAAACTGTAAAACAAATTCGTGTAAGTTTAACATGTTTCTTCTTTTATGTAAGAAAGGTCTTGATATTGTATTTTATGAGTGAAAAGATTTAATTATGAATGTCTCATAATGTTAGAAATCGAAACGATGATCTTGAAACCATTTGAAATATATATTGTTCAAAAGCTTATGTAATCATTTTATCTCCTTTTATGTCGATTGAGATAACAATGGAAAGACAAGTTTAACATTTCAGTGGTTGAGAACATGAGTCAATTGAAGCTAGGCCACCATAGAAAACTTGGAAGCACTGAACAGCTGTTTCGTCTTATTGTGAGACTTCCCAACAGTGCTCATTCACGATATCACCTCGTAAAATTCGAACCCAGTACCTTTCAGTCTCGCAAGCGATGCTTAATCTCTAGACCATTAAGCCGGCCGGCATCCAACGGTGTTAATGTCTAACTTTAACACATCCACCATTGCCTTCAGTGAGTTGCTATCTTACAACAGACCCAGTTAAACTTCAGTGCTTCCAGGTTATTCATAGTGGTCTAGCTTCAACTGACTCATGATCTCGACTATTAAAATTATTATATATTTGTTCCTTTTATCATAAGCTTTCTATTAACCCATTAATTACTGTTGTATGATTTACTATTTTGAATCTGTTGACGGTTTTATTATTAAGTCTCCTTTACTTACATTTGAACTTCCCTGTCAGTGGCTGTATACGTGTGACCATGTGAGAGCGTTTGTAGAGGTAGGGCGGACTCCTCCACTCTCGGCCATATCAGAGCATTTGAAAGAACGACCTTTTTCACTCTTTGTCATTTTTGTCGGCTTACATGAAAAATCTAATGTTTTTTATAACAAAAAAACATTACTCGTATATCTTTGGACCACCGGATAAGTAACTCAGTTGTTAGGAAACGGGTACTAGATAAGGATGGTAAATCAATTGATGAAGTAGTGAAACTTCATCAGTTGAGATGGCTGGGACACGTGTTACGTATGCCCAACCACCGACTGCCCCGACGTGCGATGTTTTATGGTGTAGGAGTAGGTTGGAAGAAAGATAGGAGCGACCAGACAAAAACATGGCACAAATTCATGAAGTCACTGACAAGTGGACTGAGCCATGTTGGTAGTTGTAGACTACATGGTTGGGGTCCGCGAGGCGATAGCAACCGATGGTTACAGACATTGAATGTGACATGGCTCAAAATCGTTTGCAATGGCGCAGGTGCATCACCTTTTTGTGTTCTCCCAAACTCTAACCTTCTGAATTCTTCATGTCCCTTTGTTTTTCTCTTTCTAAATTTATTTCACTGGATTATACTCCTTGAATAACATCATCATACCCTAATGTTCCCGATTACTGTTTATACTTTTACTATCTCTACCACTACGGGTTTTGAACCGATAACTGCATCTCTGTGTTAATGTGGTGTGGCAACTCGAACTGATGTACGTACGTATGAAGTTCCACGTTGTTACTGACTGACTATAACGAAAATATTATTTCATAATGTTACGAACGTATCAAATGTAACGTAGTCAGTAATGATAAAAGAAAAATTACAACATTACAAAAGTTACATCTTCAATTAATTTAATCATAGAAACTGTTTGAAAATATCTAAAATTAAGTAACTAAATAAACAAAAAACTCAAGTGGCCTGCTTGAATATTTGAAATACCTGCTCATTTAAAGGTTGTCCATAAATTATAATCTTTTCGAGGGTAGTAATAATAATATCCACCCTGAAAACATATTCCATTGATGATGATACTTATCTCATTCCTGAATAAATATTTTCGTTCGACTTATATTATGAGCTTCAAATTAGAACAAAGTCAGTCAGTCAGTCAGTCAATAAATCACAACGTAGAACTTCGTACGTTCGTGCATTAGTTCAAGTCGCCATACCTGACCATGGCTGTTACCTTGACGTGGTGGTCAGGCTTGCCTATCATGACGAACCAATTGAGCTATGCTGTCTGGAACAATCGTTTCTCAAGGTCTTACCATTCCAGGCAGGTCAATTGTAGAACTGTAAGACTAAAAGCAGCAATCCAACGTCTGAGGGCAAAGTCGTACTGCTGATTGTAAAGGAATGTAACAGCAGTAAGATGTTTCCCTCCGGAAACCATCATTTGCAGCAATGCTGCCTTCTCATAAGAAAGGAAGGGTTTAAAAAACATCGACCCTAAAAATGTCGCACGTAACTTTATCTCTCTAATTTTCGTCTCCGGTGGTAAGGCCTCTTAAAGAACGGAGCTAACACGTTGAATTAGAACAAACAAGAGTTTAGTGTTTTTTTCGAGGTTGATGATATTTTCATAAACAGAACAATTTTCAAAATGTACCAATTTCCATAAATCATTATAATTATATAACTTTTTAATTATATGATTGTAGAGTATACTAAAATAAAATCATATTTCTACTCTCTTTACTTGCATATAAGGATATAGCACAGGGAGGAAGAATTAGTTCGTAGAAAGAAAGATATGAAACGATTTTAAACTCATAGTTTAAGAGAAGACAGGGAGTGTATACACCTACACTAGTGCGATCGATTCTGAGCCATGTCACCCACAGTCTCCAACTATTATTTACGATAGTCACGTGGACCCCAACCAAGTAGTCTGCATCTATCTAGTTCTCATGACCATACTTCATAGAATGAATAGACAACAGGACAGTCTCCTTGAATATCTGTTAGAATATCTGGGCTACCTGTTCCTGCCATCTAGATATTTCAACAAGTTATCTGTTACCTTGTTTATTTTAACAAAACGCCTCGTGAAGGAGCACAGGCCGCTCACCAGCATTCCCCGTCCAACCCCTTTCTGGGCAATACTTTCCAACACTTTCCAGTTGTTATTCATCCTTTTCATATCCGCTTCTATTTCCGGACGTAATATGTTCTTCGGTCTTCCTCTTTTCCGCTTCCCTTCAGGATTCCAAGTTAGCGCTTGTCTCGTGGTGCAGTTTGATGATTTGCGTAATGTATGTCCGGTCAAAGGTTGTGAGCATTTTTACAAACGCACCTGAATAGATTTGAATAATTTTTTCTGGTTAGCGTTTTCAAACCTGTTCAGGTGTGTTTGTGAAATGTTCACAATCTTTTACCGTACAAGTTACAAAAATTTGCAATGGGAGACATTGTGGTAGATGGCAATGTGCATAGAAAAGAATATACATTATTCAAATGTTGATTCCTAAACTGTTAACGTCTCTCTGGCGATCACTCAATATGTTACCGTCAGGATCGATCAAGAAATAAGAAAAGGAAATTTGTCGAAATACTTGGAGCTGAGAATTCTATATTCCACCAAAAATGTAATATTGAATAAAGCTAATAATAATAATAGTAATTTTTATGTTAAGTGGATAACGCGATAGTGTTTGAAGCGAACGGTACTTGGTTCGAGTTCCAGAGTAAACAACAACTCTGAAATACAGGTACATCCAGCTGACGAATGGAACGCTCGTCCTGGATTCCACTGTAAGCCACTATCCATCTTTGCTTAGAATGCTTGTGAATTAAAGCTATATCGAGGCAATGCGCTCAGGATGCACATATGCCAATAAGCGACTGATCAACTGTAGTCCTAAAAATCAATGGGAAGATTAAACTAAACAATATCAAGTGAATTCATTAGTTTTGTTTGTTTTCTTCACAGCTTAATGAATTAGTTAAAAGAATATGACATCAAATCATGACTTTGATTGTTTGAATAATGATTATTTATATTTACTTACTTACGGTTGTTACACCTCATGGAGGAGTGTAGGCCACTCACTGACATTCTTCATCCAACTCTGTCATGGGAAGGCCTTTCCAACTATTTCCAGTTGTTATTCATCTTTTTCATATGTTTCTATTTCCCGACGTAATATATTCTTTGGTCTTCCTCTTTACCACTTCCCTTCTGTTGGGGTAATCCAGAAAACTTCCCGCATAAGCCAAGAAAGGCTCAGAAAACATTAAAAAGCATTTTATGCAATCAGCGTTCACTAAAAGTTTAGCCAGAAACATCAAGAAAGTGAAAAGTCACATGTAAAGTTTCTGATTGCATGATTACTATACTGCTACTATGTTTAATAGCATTCCAGAAATTTCGGGAAACCTAAGGACATCTAAAATACCATAAATACCCCATATTTTCTGTTCTAAAACGAATCTTTGAAATAAAGTGCTTCTCGCATATTTTGCGCTTTTTTTTCTTGTGTTCAGGTCACTGTGTAGTTTCTAGCTTGGGGGTTACAAGAATAGCCTAGGAACCGAATATAGTGTCCAGTTACCAAGACAAATCACCTTCAGGATTTCAAGTTAGGGCTTACCATATGATACAGTTTGGTGATTTCTGTAATGTATGTCCTATCCCTTACTGTCGTCTTTTGCTAATTTCTTTTTCATTTGAAAGCTGATTTGTTCTCACTGACAGTAAGCTGTTGCTGATGATATTCCGTAACTGTAATTAGTGACTATGATACATTTAGTTGACATGACAACATAGAATTTATTCCTTAATCAATATTTATTTTTCTCAACTTTCTTTCTCTCTTTTTTTTGTTGTTGTTTGGTTTCTTTTTAGTCAAAAATTAAAGAATTAGAAAAACGTTGTGCATTACAATTATTAAGACATGAAGAAATTTTATTAGAAATAGAAGATGTACGTAAACGTAGTTGTATTCAATCAAATAATTCATCAATGATGATGGCAACAACCACTACCACCACCACCACCACCACAACAACAACAACAACAACAACAGCAGCAACAACATTAAATTCGATAAAAAATCAATTACATCATGATATTGATTTAATTAATCAATCAACATCATCAATATCTTCTTCTTCTTTAATCAATAATCATAATCATCATCATCATCATCATAATAAAGTTTATGGTCGATTATTACAATCAAGCCAACAGAATAAATTCAAACAAGATTATATACAATCTTATGAAATGGATTCATCATTATTATTAGATCCATCTTCAACATTAGATATAATAGGATTAAATAAACAAATGACTACTAATAATAAACAAGTTAAAGGTAGATTATTTCGTAGTAATACTGATCTACAAATATCAGGTAAGATTTTTTTGTTGAATAAGTGTTTATAGTACTATTGTATTATTGTATTTATAAGTGGTATGTTATAGGTGTGCTATTATAAGTATAAGGTTTGATATCACTTCCCAACTGCTCACATTGTGAAAGGGTATTTCTTGAAGAACCTGAAAAGGAAGTTGGATTAGTGTTGATTTTAACGACCTGGTAACATGACCACAGAGCCCTAAGAACAATTGCTTGAGGTTAATTGCGCACGATCTTTTTGTCGGAGGTTTTTAATGTGTTAGCTCCGTTCTTCAAAGAGCCTTATCGCTAGAGAAGGAAATTAGTGAGGTGTGACATTTTTAAGGTTGACCATTCTTAACTCCTTCCTTCCTTGTGAGAAGGCAGCATTATTGCAGATGCTAGTTGTCGGAAGGAAACATCTTACTGTTGTCATACCCCTTTACAGTCAACAGTACGACTTCTCCCTTGGACTAAAATTTATGAACGAACTAACCAGATTTAGAATAACAGATCTTGGATTTTGGCGCGAAGTTCATTCATTCAATGAGCTGAATAGGGTTTTAATACTTTAGGTGATGTGATATGCTTGAATGCTATTACGAGTTTACCTTACTTGGTAAACGGAACGAAGGTCAATGATACAGTGACACGATAGGCAATTCTAATCCGTTGTCCCTAGCCCTGCTAACTAGATCGAGAAGTCTTGATGAGGCGTAGAGAATGTATTCTACGAGCACCCAGAAAATACGAGGTCACTAAGCACACAAATCAAGCTTATTTATACAATGATAGAAACGCCCTTGGGAGAGCCACAAAATAGCATATAAAACAAATCTGTCAACCAATGACAGTCAAGGATTTCCGAGTGAGAAATGTAAGCTGTAACTCAACTAAGCGTCTCTTGGAGCGAAAACGTATAATTCAAAATTTCAGAATAAAATTACAAAATTAGGACCTTTTCCAAGTGAGCTCTGAGGATCATACAATATACCGATTTTTATTGTTCCGAATGATCGACTAAGACAAATACGACAATGTTTAGATATAGCAATGACGTTACGCTGGTGACTTATTGTTACCATTGAACACCTCTCCCATTGTTCGTTTCACCTAAGTTTTATGTTTATTTCTTCTTATATCATTACATAATGATCTCTCTTTCTCTCACTCACTCACACACACACAGACATACTTATACAATCCTAAAATGAGATTACAAGTGTACCATTACAAGATCACCACATATGTGTTTTAAATAAGCATTTTACATTCATAAAACAGGAAGTTCAACGTTTCCCAGACTGTGGAACTGACTGATGTATGTTCGAATACAGTAGAGTGTCAATTACCTGAATATTCCAAATATATCTTGCTGATAAGTCTCATCTTACATTACTCCAACCATTTAATTTATCAAAATGTTATTTACAAAACACTAGATTTATATCAATATATATAGAATCTTTCTTGAGTAAGCTTTCGAGAACTACAACGGAGCCTGCAGAGGCCCTAAAACAGCTGAAGAGTTTCCATCCAATCAGAATATGATGGAGCTTTGTATAATATGAACATGGCATGCTACTATTGAAAATTGTTATAACTTGTGGGTCTATGCCCCTATCAATGTATAACGTAATGAGTCCGCCGATTAAAGAACAATGACTTATCTATTGGACCAATGATGCATAAAACAAGTACGAGCAGTCTAGAGTTCTTATCAGGTCGGCTTCCCACCTAGCCCTGCCTGTTAAGTACAGAACCCCAATTTCAGCCACTGCGATATGAATCGTGTATTTCAAACATACTGGGTTCATATACCAACTAAACAGACCACATCGTACCAATAAAATAGGAAACAACACTTGTACAAAATTTGGTCAAATGTGGCTGTGAATAGGGGAGACAGTAATCGATAGACACGACATAATTCAAGAATGAAAAATCGTATAATAATGGTTCGTAGGTCAAAATACTGCTCATAATAAGAGGAACACAATAAAAATATACGTATAGTATTTGTCCAGAAACGGATTTCAAAATCACCATTGATTATTCTCATTGGGATACATCAATCTTGAAAGCCTTTTCTTTTCGATTACTGCTTATACATTTTACTACCTTTACCACTATGAGATTTCAATCGATAATTGTATCACTTTGCTAATGTGGTATGATAACTTGAACTGATGTAGGTATGTACGTAAGTTGTTGCTAACTGACTGATATATACATATTGTATGGCATAGATCAGAGTTTGAGAAATAAGAATAATTTATAAAATGACAGTTAATCAATAACAAATTTCTGTCTAAATAAATCAATAAAATTAGGTAGGAAAAGTTACATAAAATAAATTAATTTCTAATGTAATTTATTTTTTAAATCTCCAATAGTAATAAACAAATAATGTAGTTTGATTAACATAGAGTCGATCGATCGCTTTACTAAGACTCGGGAACTACAAACACGAGAATATTAGGTTGGCTTCAGACCTGGTCACGATTGCATCGACCACATATTGACCATTCGTCAGGTTCTAGAACACAGGCATAATTATCGGCGTCCGACAATAGTGGTCTTTCTTGACTTAAAAGCATCATTTGACTCTGTAGATCGCGATATTCTGTGACAGTGTCTGTCAGTGAAAGGCGTACCTCAGAAGTGAAGGCTCTTTATTCGATCACTACTAGTTGAGTCAGGGCTTATGGTGAACTGTCATCTGCTTTTGCAACCTCAAGTGGTGGCCATCAAGGCTGTCCACTTTCTCCATTTTTGTTTAACTTTATCATATACCCACTGATGGAAATAACTTTCTCGTCGACTAAATTTTCGAGCACTGATCTCGTACCAGGAGGTCCACTTATGGATTTAGAATACCCAGATAATATTGTCCTATTTGGTGAAGACGATGATAAAATACAGAGTCTTCTGGTAGCACTGAACAACAATGCCAGGATGTGTGGGATGCTTCTCTCTCCCTCCAAATGCAAGTTGTTGCTTCAAGACTGGTCTGCGTCAACACCTGAATTAAGGATAGGGAGCGAAGTAGTCGAACGCGTTGACAACTTCACTTATGTTGGAAGTCTGATAAGCCCTAATGGGTTGGTGCCTGACGACATCTCTGCACGGATTCAAAAAGCTCATTTGGCTTTTACCAACTTACATCACCTGTGGCAAATGCGAGATATCCGTCCATCAATTAAGGGACGAGTATACTGCTCAGCATTTCGTTCTGTTCTACTTTACGGTTGCGGAACATGGTCAATAAGAGTGGAAGATACTCGTAAGTTACTAGTAATTGATCATAGATGTTTTAGAAATATTGCTCAAATCTGCTGGAATCACTGGGTAAGTAATAGTGAGGTTAGATGCAAGGTATTAGGGAATGATTGTAAATCAGTTGATGATGTAAATCTTCATCGACTGAGATGGTTGGGCCACGTGTCGCTTATGCCTAAACACCGATTACCATGACGCGCAATGCTAACCGGTGTTGGGGATGGTTGGAACAAAGTTAGGGGCGGCTAAACGAAAACGTGGCATCAGTGCTTGAAGTCACTAACTTCTAGTCTGAACCATGTTGGTAAATGCAGGCTACTTAATGAGAGTCCACGTGAATATCGTAACCAATGGTTGGAGGCTCTTGGTGACATGGCTCTGAATCAGTTACAAGAATGTTGGTGTATAACCTCTCTGTCACCCCTTAAACTATGAGATTAAAATAGCTTCACATCTTTCTTTCTACGAACGAATTCTTTCTTCCTGTACTATGTCCTTACACACAATCTTTCTTTTATATTATACCACCATTGAATTAAATACTTCTAATAATTTGGTATTCATCTTGTGCAAATAAGGTGTGGCAACTTGGACCGATACACATATGTGCCTGGTCCGACGTTGTAGCTGACTGATTGACTGAAATTTATACAGGATAGGGCAACATTCTATTACAAACAATATCATGATATTCATTTGTTTTAGTTATTTGAGTGTTCTCATTTGGTATTTAGGATTATACGTACATCCTTTGTGAGGTGTCATGACATCGTTTTAAGTCAGTCATAAGTAGTATAAATAGTGTTGGATAGTAGTTAGCGATGGAATCTAGGAAAAGCGTTTCGTCGATTTTCGAGACATGGAGTACTGTGATATTACAACAAATTAACGTTGAGTCCTATCTGCACTAGATCAACAGTGATCTGGTAGTTGAATGGAGTAAAATAAGCACTTTTTATGAAACATCAATAAAAACAGCATACAAAAATATCAGTGTAGAATTGTGGGGATTATTATGTTTTTAATTGAGATCATGAATTGGTTGGTGTTAGACCACCATTGGAAACCTGAGTCAAATACTTAATAATCACTACAACCATATACTAACAACCGTCACGTGCTGACTAGTGACTAGCTTCGTGAGGGAATTCTCGGGGTCCTAGCGAGAAGTCGCAATCAGTGGAGCTAATCCATGTCGAGTAGAGACAGGTATCTACCTCAGTACAATGGAAAATGGTCGCACGATTTTGTGGATTGGTTGAGGTTAAACATTAATACCGTTGGATGCTGGCTCAATGGTCTAGAGACTGAAGGTCCTTGGCTCGAATCCTGTGAGCGGGATCGTAGATGCGCACTGCTGAGAACGAAACGGTCATCCAGTGCTCCCAGGTTTTCAATGGTGGTCTAACATCAATCGATTCATGATCTTAATCAAATACTAGGTGGTTAAAAAAAAATGTGTATAATATCTAAAACTTATGAAGTGATCAATTATCATTTTGTAAACGAATCAAGGAGTCCCACAATAAGACGAAACGGTCGTCCAGTGATTCCAGGTTTTCCATGGTGGTCTAGCTTCAACTGAATCATGATCTTAACTATTGAAATTACTATAATATCTACAAAACCTGTCTGAATTTAGAATAGTTAAGTATAATTTTCTTACTGTAAGATAGTTCATGATTGAGAAAAGATTTAATGATCACATTTCTTAGTTGCCAGACAGTGTTTGAGTCTTAATAAGGTTATTAATACTGATGTGTAAAATACATATAGGTGATACATTTTCAATCAGAAGAAATGTACTTCTTATACTCTACTGTTAACCGAAATCCATTCATAATAAAGAGTGGTTCATCCAGCTTGTTTTGTGTATATTTCAGTATAATCTTAAAACAAACTTCAATCTTCTGAACAACTTCAGTTAATGGTATATAAACTATCACCAAAGATCATACCAAATATTTTACATATATATTTCGTATCATAGAAGCACAAATTGAAGCCGGAATTGATTAAAGATGAAAACTATGGATCATGTTATATCGATGTTATAGTGTAGATCATAGAAACGATCACATCTATACACTACCGGTAGAGTAGTTTATCAAACTGAAATGATGATTGCTTGTAATCATTGAAAAGTATCTATATAAAGAAGAAATATTTACTTGTTTTTCCCATTCATTTTCTTCACAGAAGGTGATGATCCAAATTTAGTTGAACTATTTCAAGTTATTGAAGAATCGAATAAATCAACCGGTAAGTTTACTACTTTTGCAATAGATAATCTATGTGTTTGAAACCTTTTCTATTTTCTGTTAAAAGTATCGTATTCCAGATCAATTTTTTTTAAAGTTTCATGTTCCTTTCTCATTTGAAACTTGATCATATTGTTAACAGATGAAAGATAGCACTGTTTCATTGAAATCCCTAAAGGATCAATACATTCTTTGAAGTATATGAAGTATACTCTAGGGCTATTATATTTTTTGTAATATGAATAGAACTGAAAAAGAAAGCCCAGAACAGAATGGGTTAGAGAATGCTGATCGGCGGTTCATACTTCATTAGGAGTAACAAGAGTAAGGAAATTTCCAACAGTCATACCGGATACCATTAAACGCAACTATGATCTATACTTTCTATTATAATTAATTTCTTCATTGACGAATAAGTTCTTACACCTTTCATTGTTTGTACTTCTCAAACATGTCACCCATTCATATTGATCATTTAAAAAATGATGTTATCGATTATTATTACTATCTTAAGATGAATATTAAAGCTAATATTTTGTACAATGGATACACTTCATTCTGTTTCTTAGTTTTGAGCTTATACCTGGCAACCAACTAAAATTAAGCGGAAATTATTATTTACATGATTGTAGTCCATGACGGAGGGGAAGGGGTGCTTCGTTTTTTGTTATTTTTACTGGCTTACATAAAAAATGTAAAATATTCTTTAATGAAAATGTCATTCCATCATCCTATGAATATGTAAATTGTAGCGCAATCAGTAATGATGAAAGAACAATTACAATATCTCGAACATTATACTTTCAATTAATTTTATGATAGAAACTATTCCAAGATATTTACAATTGAGTGATTATTACTGACTATGATATACTTAGTTGACTTGACAACGTAGAGTTTATTCCTAACCGATTATCATGTTAATTATTAGCCAATTAGGATAATGATAAGTTTAAATTCACTTGGTATTGTTTTGTTTGTATCTTCTGATTGAGGTTTTTAAGACTGCAGTTGATCAATCTGTTATTGGTATATGTGCATACTGTGTGTGTGGATAGTGGCTAGGAGGCATACGCACAGTATACACATATACCAATAACAGACTGATCAATTACAGTCTTAAAAACCTCAATGAGAAGATACAAACAAAACAATACCAAGTGAATTTAAATCCACCCCACTGCATCAGCAAGTGGTTATTAGGACTCAGTAACGGAAATGGATCACGCGATGACGTTTGAAGTGAATGATACTGAGTTCGAGTCCCAGAGTGAACATCAACTCTGAGATGCAGGTACATCCAGCTGACGCGTCCCAAATAGGACGAAACGAGCGTCCTAGATTCCACTGTTAGCCACTATCCATCTTTGCTTATAAAAATGATAACTTTAGTTATAGAATTCAACGGAAAAAGAATAAATAAGAGTTGAAAGTGTGGATGGCTAGTTTTCGCTGGACTGATTATCATTCAGAAGATGATAAGTGGTCCTTTCTGATTTTTTTTTTATAGTGACTACTTTATCAAATTCATCATTCTTGATATGAGTAATGAGTCTAAAAATAAAACGTTGAAAATAACCAACTAGCTAACCACATATGATATGAACACTGAGTGATGACCTTAGATTTCTGACATGGTGGAGAAGATTTGTAGATCAGGTGGATGATTTTGATGAAGTTTTGTTCTCTGAGTTGGATGGTTTGGTCGTGGAGCTTTCATCGCTCTTCTGAATGACATTATCTGTACAAACTTCAGATAGAAGTGAAGTGTTTGAATTTCTCCATATGTGCTTCACAGCTTGTCCTGTACAAGTCGATCTTGATTGATTCTTTTTGACCTTCAACCTGTCTTTGTTTACTACTTGGCTTCGGTTGTATCTCACACTGGTTTGATTTTTGTTCCTATGTTTGTGCATAATTTTCCTGATTGATTGATAATTTGAATGAATTTCAATGTGCTTGTTGACTGCTGATCGAAGTGAGTGTCAAGCTTCTAAAGATTCTCTGATGTTTTTGGAATTGTTTCTATCCAAGATTTCCACATTTTTCCAGTCAAATGAGTGTCTGCAGTTGTTGACGTGTATTGATATAAGTGAGTAAATGTCATGTTGTTTAACTGTTAATTGATATTCATGCTGGCGAAGATGAAGAGATCATCCGCTTTGTCCGATGTAGTGTTTTGCACAGTTGGCACAATTTTTTTCGTAGGTGATGTTTGATTTGTTTTCTTATGTCATTTCATCCTTTAGTTTGCATAAGATTAATTGCAGTGATTTTGTCGGTATGTGTGCAGCCTTATTCCAAAAGCTCTCAGCAGTCTCACGGTGATTTCTCATATGCCTTTTATGTATGGTAGGATGATCCTTTTGTTGATTCATCTGCTTGACTTGGTTTCTGATGATGCATACGGCTGGTATATTTTGATGAAGTTGATTGAGTAGCCGTTCTTTTGAAAGACGCCCTTCAGGTATTTCTCTTCATTTTCTCATGATGCCAGCGTGCTGCAGTATGTCCTCGCCAGGGCGAGGATTAACACTGTTTGTACTACAGATAAAACAAAGAATGAATTTGAAATCTGATCTGTATTCTTTTCAACTACTGCTTATACTTTTACTACATCTATCACTATAGGATTTAAATTGACAATTGTATCTCTATGTTAATATGGTATGACAACTTGAACTGATGTACATACGTACGTACGAAGTTCTACATTGTTGCCGACTGACCGATTTATACAATGAAGCACATAACAGTTTATCAATAATTCTGTTTCACAGATATCTGTTATGTTACATTTTTATTTGTATTGGTCAATAGTTTGATAACTATTATAAGTGACCTACATTTACTGATAAACTAGAATGAATTAAGGTGATTCCTTTAAATAGATATGGGTCAAATATATGAGACTTTCAGAAATCTTTCTAAATGATTAATCAATCATGTCTTTTTACACTGCAATGATTAATAAAATTCATTTTCAGTATAGGGTTATGGAGATTATTAAGATATTGATTGAGATCATGATCCTATTGATGTAAGACCAGCCCTGAACGGCCGTTTCGTCGTATTGTGGGACTCTTCAGCAATGCGCATACACGATCTCGCTCTCAGGTTTTGGACCCAGAGCCTTCAGTCTCACGCGCAAACGATCAACCTACTAGACCACTGAACCGGCCGGTATCCAAGGCTATTAATGTCTAACCTAAACCAATCCACGAAATTGGATTGGTTTAACATCAATCAATAAAATTTATTTTAATGCCAGTTAACTAGTAGTAACATGTTAGTGAATAGATGAGTATTTACTATTTCGAAAAAGTTATAAGATGCAACTTTCAATTTCTTCGGTAATTAACCAATAGAAGAGTTGAATTAAAATATTTGCTCTCTATTTTTGATAATTTTTTTCTAAATTACCAACATGACATACCTATAAGCAAAAGATGAATATAGTGGTTAGCAGTGAAGTTCAGGACGTACCTTTCGTTTTATTTGAAATTCGTCAGTTGGATATACTTGTATCTCAGATGTGGTGTTCACTCTAGGACTCGAGCCCAATACCGTTCACTTCAAACATTATCACGTTATACACTTAGCTTCACTATATTGAACAACTTAGTGGCTATCATGACTCAGTAGCTAAGTGAATAATGTGATAGCATTTGAAGTGAATGGTATTGTATTCAAGTCCCAAAGTGAACATTAACTCTGAGATACAGGTAGATCCAGTTGATGAGTCTCGAATAGAACGAAACACTCATCCTAGATTACACTACTAGCCATTATATTGATTTTTTTGATTAAAATATTCATGTATTATTTCTCCTCCCCCCCCCCACACACTTATTGAACATATTATCTCTGTTATATATTCATTTTAACTTTAATTTTAGATGTACCAGCACCAAGAATGATAACATTAGAACGTCAATTATTTCAAAGTGTATTAATTAGTTGGAAATCACCAGAATTAAATTCAATTCATGAAAATAAAATTGTATCTGCCTATCATATTTATGTAGATGGACAATTTCGTTTAGCTGTTATGGCTAAAGAAAAAACTCGTGCACTTATTGATAATGTGGATGCTGATAAAGTATATAATTATTAATAATAATTTAATAGTTAACATCATGAGTCTAGTGAGAAGTAGTGATCAGTGGAGTTCAATTGAGTCTATCATGTAATAGTAACTTATTGAACACAATGGTGGATATATCTCTCAATTTTATGGATTCGTTGAAGTTAGATATTAACACCATTGGATGGCAGCTAGCTCAGTCGTCTAGAGGTTAAATGTTCGTACATGAGACCTATAGGTCCTGAGTTTGAATCTCACAGGAGGGGGCCGTATTGTGGATGTGTACTTTTGAGGAGTACCATACTAGAACGAAAAAGCTGTGCAGTGCTTACAGGTTTTCAATGATGATCTAGCTTCAATGGACTCATGATCTCAACTATTATAATGAATTTTAATTTTTTTTTTTACATATTTTTTTATACATTGATATCAGTCGAAGAACTATACAACACATGAATTATTTGATAGTTGTTCACTTTCAGATTAAAAATATTGTGTATTTAAACAAATCCGAAAATTTCTAATAAAATTATTCGCTTTTTATTAATTACCTTGAAAGATTTCTATGTATTTGGTTTCATTTCATGTGTCAAAATGATGTTTTACAATAAGATGGTGGTTGGTGGTAGTCAACTGAAAACCCTGGATCCTGAACATCTTAGTCCTACAGGAGGTTAGTCTCAGCCCAGTGACTGTGAAGTTTGGTGACACGGGATAGAATCAGTCAGAGAGCATCAATTCATTCAAGATTACAGGTACACCTTGCTGACAAGTACTAAATAGCATAAAAGCTACATCCAGGGTTTTCTGTTGACTACCTCCAACCACCATCTAATCTCATTATAGTACACGAAATATCGAGTTATGTAGACCAGAGGCCATATGGAAACTTCATCGATAGGATTCGATCTACACTAAGAAGGACTTGACACAGATAACATTGATCACAACCCAGTAATCAATCAGTTGTGATGTTTTCTAATGAAACTATTTAATATCATCAATTGGTTTGATAAAAGACCATTCGAATCATCTTCATGAGATCGAACATAGATCATTCTTGTTATTTTACAAAGATGACTTTTATTTTTAGAAGATGCTCATAAATTTTTACAAGCAGTTAGTGATTACTTACCAATCATTAAGGGATTAATGTTATATATAGACCGTGAAAGTCGTATTACGTAATCTAACATTCTTATCATTCTATTACGTCATCTTGGTTATTCATGTTTACATTTCCTCATGGAATTAGTACTCAACCACTAAAATTACTATAATATCCACAAAAACCTTTCTCTGATTATAATCACCATATGCTCACTAGTAACGGTCTCCAAGAAGTATTTCCTGGAGTTCTAGTGAGAAGCGGTGACCAAGGGAGTTCAATCAGATCTGTTGTGAGATAGTAACTCACTGAAGACATTGGAGGATGTGTCGCTCAATTTCGTGAATAGGTTGAAGTTAGACATTTACACCGTTGGATGCCGGCTGGCTCAGTTGTCTAGTGGTTAATTGCTCGCGCGCGAGACTGATAGGTCCTGGGTTTAAATCTCGCAGGGGGCGAGGTGGTGGATGCACGCTTCTGAGTAGTCTCACAAGAGGACGAAACAGTCATCCAGTGCTTCCAGGTTTCCTATTGTGGTCTAGCTTCAATTGACTCATGATGTGAATCATTGAAATCTATATTTGTTAACGCAAATTCTGGTATAGATATGTATTATCTCAAACTTCATCAACAAAACAATCAAATAGTTGAAAAACCAATGCTGTTAAAACATTGATGTCAGTAATAGAGTAAGGCGTTCTTACACAATGGTGAAATTTCCAGCTTTGGTTCCCTGGGGTAAAGTCATGGTTGCACACTTCTTAAAAGTTCTACACTAGGACGAAACAAGTGTTTATTACTTCGGAGTTTCTAAAGATTATCTGACTTAAATCAATTCGTAATCTTAACATGATTCAACAATCTGCATACCTTCATAATGATCACTCCAAAAACTATTGATTACGTTCTTTTGTTAGGTTATGATTGCTTCCTAGTAAGAAGTACCGTATTGGAACGAAACAACTTTCTAGTTCACTCTAAACTTCAGTAATATCGCAACTGGGATTGATCCATCATGTCTACAACCTAAAAATCAATGGTTTCTTCGACATTACAGATACTTATTACTAACTAATCCCAACAAACACGATAAAAAGATTAAGACTGTCAATAAATCACCTTTCAACTTAAGTACCTTGGGTGTCTGTTCTGTCATGGTGAAATATCAAGTACGAGAGCTATTTATTTTGAGGGTTTATTTACAGTTACAACGTCCAATAGTTTAGCGAAACAGTATTCCATTCTATCTTTACAACTAAAGATTCGAAAAAACTAAACTTTTTGTTTATCCATATAGATTGGGAACTTATCTCACAATATCGCACACAGTGTTAAGTCACCTAGACTGATGGCCACATTACAACATGGTCGATAGCATTCAATCTGCACTAATAACGACTTGACACATATGACATTGATCACCATCCAGTGATCAATCGATTGTGAACTTATCATTACATTTACACTATTCCTATTCATTCTTTATGATGTTATGTTTAACATCCGTTTGTTTACTTATTTTTCTTATTTATTTTAGCCTCATCGAATTTCAATTCGATCTATTTCTTCACATGGTCAATCTAAAGATGCACAATGTACATTAGTTGTAGGTCGTGGTATGACTGCTACACCAGCTCGATTAAAAGCTACACAAATTGGTACTAAATCAGCTAAATTAAGTTGGATTCCAGGAAATAGTAATTATTATCATCGAGTTTATTTAAATGAAACATCATTACATGTATGCAAACCTGGTGTATACAAACTTCATTTAACTGGTAAATCATTGTTTAACAATTAAGACAAACTTCTTATTGATTAGTACTAGTTAACATGATATTATTGTAATCTTTAAGGAATTGATATACTATTCGAGTTTATAACTTACGTCTCAATCATAAGTGTTAACATTGGGTATTCAAGCTGTGACCGAATCTTTAGTAATAACTATAAGTATTGATGACCTACTTTTAAGTATCTTAGGAATAATGAATCCTCTAAAGATTGGAAAAGTTTGTTAGTGATCAGTGCCAATTGTCATGAAATCACATAACCGTTGATATCAGGAAATATGTATAGCTTCCATGACTGTGAGAAACAATTGAGAGGATAGATGGAAGAAAATGAACAAGTTGAATACAACTAGACGATTTGAACTTTGCAGATACTTACTTACTTACTTACGCCTGTTACTCCCAATGGAGCATAGGCCGCCGACCAGCATTCTCCAACCCACTCTGTCCTGGGCCTTCTTTTCTAGTTCCATCCAATTCTTGTTCATTTTTCTCATATCTATCTCCATTTCCCGGCGTAATGTATTCTTTGGTCTTCCTCTCCTCCTTCGACCTTGAGGATTCCATATGAGGGCTTGTCTTGTGACGCAGTTGGGTGCTTTCCTAACTTTGCAGATGACCTAGCTTTTTTATCCCATACACACCAAACGGATAATGGTCAAGACAATTAGTGTAGCAACATCCTCTTCATCAGTAGGCTTTAACATACACAAGGGAAAAAGCAAGATCCTTAACACAGAGAAAATCAACACAATCACAATTGATGGAGAAACTCTCAGAGAGGTGGAAACTTTCACGTCCCTGGTCAGCATCATCAATGAACAAGGCAAATCGGATGTAGACGTAAAGGCGAGGATTGGTAAAGCAAGGCCATCATTCCTACAAGTGATGAACATATGGAACTGTCAACCAATATCAAAATCAGAATCTTTATTATGAACGTCAAGACAGATTTATTGTACGGAGCTGAAACTTGAAGAACTACTACAATCATCATCAAGAAGGTACAAGTATTTCTAAACAGTTGTCTACGCAAAATACACAATATCCGTTGACCAGATACCATCAGTAGCAGTCTACTGTGGGTGGTAACAAACCAGCTTCCAACTGAAGAGGAAATGAAGAAGAGATGATAGAAATGGATAGCACATACATTACGGAAATCATCAAACTACATGACAGGATAGTTGATAACTTAAAACCCTAAAAGAAAATGGAAAAGAGCAAGACCAAAGAATACACTACATAGGAAATTGGAAGCAGAAATGAAAAGGATGAATAGCAATTGGAATGGATTGATCGGGACAGAATTGGATAGAAAATTCTGATGGGTGGTCTAGGCTTTTCCACGAGAAGTAACAGGCGTAAGGTAGTAAAAAAAGAAACAAGTAATTCATACAGACTTGATGTTTCATATCGCTCTTTTTAAAAAAGAATTTACAATTATAGATGTACAATGTAAAAGATTATAATTGCTAACATCATTCATGTTTACTTCTATAGACTTTCTTCACTTGGTAATTCAAGCATTATATTAAATCTAATCTTCTTTAACTCAAGTGATCAATACAACTAATAGAAGGTTATGAATTTTATTATTTCTTCAATAAACTCGAATCCAAGATCATTAGTCTCGTGTGTGAACTTTAAACGTCTAAACTATTAAGTCAGCATCTAACGGTATTCATATTTAACTTTAATTGATCCATGATCTTGCGCAACTCTTTATCTATTGTTTGATGTAGATAACTATCTGCATCCGACATGGATTAGACTCCACTGATCACAACTTCTTAGTAGAACTCCAGAGAATCCAACTTAATGATTAGTGAGAAAAATAAAACATGATGGAGAAGATTTTTAGCTCAGGCAGATAATTTTGATGTAGGTTTATTCTCTGAGCTAGTCGGTTTGGTTGTGAAGCTTTCATTTCTACCTGACGTTTGTGCTGATAATGTCATTCAGAAGAATGATGAAAGCTTCACGACTAAACTATCCAGCTTAGGGAATAAGTTTCCATCAAAAACATGATATCAGTTTGATGTTGATGTAAATATATTCCGGTAAAGAAACAATCCGATATCAATATCAGATAAGAATATTCTTTAGAATTCCACATTTCAATTGCTTTAAAAATAAATTCAAATAGTAAACCGATGAAAAACAACATTGAGTCGTAGAGATAGTTGAATTCATAAGTCTCCACTCGACATGGATTGAACTCTCCCGGTCACAGTTTCTTACTAGAACTTCATGAAATCCATCTAGTAGCTAGTCATTAGTGAGCACATAGGTTGGAATCTTGCACTAGGAATCGTGGATGCTTACTGTTAAGAAGTCTCATACAAGGACAAAACAGCCATCCAGTACTTTCAGGTTTTTAATGATGGTCTATCTTAGACAAAATTTTAATCATTCTATCATCTTATTCTTAGAAATTTTTTAATTATAAGCCGGTAAATTTTTTGCTTATTCAGGTTATTTTAATAGAATGATCTTGATGGAGTCTTATTCTCTGAGCTGGATAATTTAGTCGTGGAGCTTTCATCATTCTTCTGAATGGTATCATCAGCACAAACTTCAGGTAGAAGTGAAAGCTTCACGACCAAACCATCCAGCTCAGAGAATAAAACTTCATTAAAATCATCCACATGAGCTACAAATCTTCTCTACCATTTCAAATACAATGGTCAAATAACAAATACTATTCTTGATACTGTTAGACAATAACTAATTGTATATAGTGTGGTTTACTTACTTACTTACTCCTGTTACGCCTCGTGAAGAAGCATAGGCCGCTCACCAGCACTCTCCATCCAACCCTGTCCTGGGCAATACTTTCCAGCTCTTTCTAGTTGTTATTCATCCTTTTCATACCTGCTTCTATTTCTCGACGTAATGTGTTCTTTGACCTTCCTCTTTTCCGCTTCCCTTCAGGATTCTAAGTTATGGCTTACATCGTGATGCAGTTTGATGATTTGCGTGATGTATGTCCTATCCATTTCCATCGTTTTTTCCTAATTTCCTTTTCAGTTGGAAGTTGGTCTGTTCTCTCCCACAGAAGGCTGTTGCTGATGTTTACTTCCTTGAAAACCATTCCCTATGAATTTCCTTCGACTAAATAAAACTAAATCACAGAATACATCATGTTAAGTCACTTAAACTAGTGTTCACATTACAATTTAATTTCCTGTCAACAATATAGCTTAGATAATCTAAGTAGAAATTTCAGCCTAAATAGAATTAAACTGATGTCCAAGGAAGACATTTAATGAGACTATAATTTATGGATGACGTTTAAGCGACGTCAAAGTAACCTTGAAAGTGTCTACCTATTTAATTAGGCTAAATGAACGTTATAAATCAGTTTGAGGAATAAAGATAATGATTTACAATTAATGTTAGGGGTTAGGATTTAGATTGATGGTTTTCATCACGAACTGACATCAGCTAAACTGTCAAGACGCTATTTGACTAAATGAATGAGTGAATTTGGCTCCATAATCCAAAAACCTGTGATCGTAAATCTGATTGGTTCATCCATACATTATAGTCTTGTCAGATGTTCTTCAACGTCTTTAATTGTAATACTAGTATTTATCAATGCCATTAATCATGATCAATCATTAATTCTATTTTTTTTAAATTTATTTATCTTTAATTAGATTTACCACCAGATACTTTACATCAAGTTTGTGTTCAAGCTTTGCCATCACCAATTAGTATACAAGAATCAGCTCAACAATCTCCACCTTGGATTAATACTGCCTGGAGTGGTGTACATACACAGAAACTAGCTGCTTTTATTGAATTTCGTACACTACCTATAGGTACGTTCATAAAACGTTTGTTATATTTGTTTAATATCTATTCAGTATATCAGCTATTGTATTGAATACCTATCCGAATGAATCACAAATTGAAAGAAGTCAAGTGTGTATAGATCATATGATTTTGATTCATTAATCTAAATATAACTAATTCATTATGAGACCTCAAGAACTTTTGTTCGATTACTGGTGGTCAAAATATAACGCCTTTCATTACTATGGGGTGTGAAACTAGGACGTAATAGTTTTCCGGTTCTACCTGATTTTTAACAGGTTTACTGGATAAGATTAGTTGGTGAAGAAATCTTTATAGGGAAATATATCATCCAGTCATTTTTAGAAAAATGTTATTTGTCATCGAGTGATAGTATCTACTAGTTACTTAAGCCTGGCATCCCTCTTGAGGCATTGGCCTCTAACAAGGAATCTTCAATGATATCATCGACTCCCATTTCTAGTTGTTACCAAATGCTATTCATCATTTTCATATCTTTCTCTGATTCTTGGAATCATGTGTTATTTGATCTGCTTGTATTTTTACCTTTTCCTTGATGATCTCAAATTGAGGATTGCTTTGTGATGGAGTTTAATGTTTTCCGCTTAGTATATTCTGTTTACCTTCAGCGTCTTTTAATACTTTCCTCCTAAACTAGTGATTGGTTTATTCTCTTCCACAGTGATTAACTACTGATAGTCTCTGGTTTACAAAATCTTGCGTAAGCAGCCGTTTACAAATACGTGTTCTTTTTTTGATGATAGTTATGGTGTGGTGTGAGCTACTAATATCCACATAAGTAGCATATAATGATAGTCAGAAATAGAATGTATTTCAGTAAAAGATCGAGAGGGAAAAAACGGAAACGGAGAGCAATTGGTATGCAAATGCATGAACAACGAAATCTGAGACAATGAATTGATATTTGCAGAAGGAACAGTCAAGTTTAAGACAATGGATTGATATTTCGCAAATGAAGTATTTACTGTATTGTTCTCAGATTTTAGTGTGGTGTTCTGTAATTTGTACTCAAATACATTCGATTTTCACCACTCGTGTTCTTGTTTATTACAATAGTAGTTCGTCAAGTTTTAGCTTCATGCATTAATACTATCTAAACATTTATGTTGAAGATTCTAACTTCGGTTTTAGAATACACTTTCTCTGAGTCCCAGATATTTTTCATTTGTGGGAATGTTGTCCTTGCTCTGGTAATTCTTAACTGCTAGCCACTATTCATCTTTGCTTAAAAATGTTAAAATAATACTTTAAAGCAATAGATTACAGAATAGTAACCAAACATCATATTGTCTTTTTATAACGTTTATTAAATTCTATCTATACAATTTACAAGTAGGTCCTGGGTTGGAATCCCGCGGAGTGGTGTCGTGGATGCTTCCTGCTGAGGAGTCGTACAGTAGAACGAAACGGCCTTCCAGTGCTTCATTGATGATCTAGCTTTAATTGACTCATGATCTCAACTAGTGAAGTCTACAAGAAGTTAAAAAATTAAAATAGTTGGCAGTGATGTTAGAATTAACTGATAAAACTAAGGGCTGAATTAGAAAATAGAATTTACGAACTTCATTTATGAATATCACATTAACAAAATAGCAAACTATCAATTTTTTTCAGTGGATTATTATCATCTACTTGAAGTGTTATTGAACTCATAAATAGATCTAAATTTGAACACCATTGAAAACCTGGAAGCACTGGATGGCTGCTTCGTCGCAGTATGGTACTCCTCAGAAATGCGCATCCACAATTCCTTATATGGGACTCGAACCCAGTATCTTCAGTTACTCACTCGGACTCTTGAACTCTAGACCAGTAAGTTGGCGTGCAAGGGTGTTAGTGTTTAACTTGAATCAGTCCATGATCTTGAAGACGAGTTCAGTGCTTCCAAGTTTTCAATTGTGGTCTAACTTAGATCGGTTTATAATTTCCAGATGATTCGACAATCTTCACAACCGCATACTGTAAATACTTGAAACATATTTTACTATCTTGTGACAAGTTTATTATTTTTTTTATATCTTCAATGATTAAACTAAACAGATTGGTTTGAAAATGTTTCTTTTTTTAAAAAAAAAAAACATAATATACTTAGGCTTACCAGATCCTCCAAGTCATGTACAAATTGAGGCTGGTCCTCAAGATGGCATGCTACTTATCACATGGCTTCCAGTTCCACAAGATAAAAATGCAGTAGAAGCTGTTACAGCTGCCGGTGCTAGTAATAGTTTACCAGTACAAGGATATACTGTTTGTTTGAATGGTCAAGCAATTATGGAAATGAAAGGAGCTTCAAGTAAGTTTTTCTTTAAATTGGAAATAATGTTATAAGATACACTGTCAATAAAAGTTATTTATTCCCTTTACAAAGATTAAAGAAGATTCAATAAATCTTTCTTTGAATAAAATAACATTGTATAGAAACAGAACAACTAAATTGAACCGTTATATAACTAGATACTTGTGTTCATTTAGTTTCTGGGACAAAATTTATATAATAAGTAGTTACCTTCAGTGATATTTTCATCACTAACTGAATGATATTATCAGAGAGGGGTTTTGTGGATATGATAGTCATTTTAATAGTTAAATTCATAAGTCAATTGAAGCTAGACCATCATAGAAAACCTGGAAGTACTGGATGGTTGGTTGAAGTTAGACATGAACACTCAGTGATATACAGGTTAAGCGTTCACCTGAGAGATCGATTGTTCCTGAGTTCGAATCTCACGAAGCGGGACCGTGGATGAGCACTGATGAAAAGTCCAGATCATTCATTGTTTCCAGGGATTTTTCTTTAAATGGTAATCATCAATTCATCTACTAAATGACTATAATATCCACACACGCACACACACCCCTCACCTCCTCTGATTTCTTTTTAATTCTAGTTCAATTGTTTGTTTTTCTTTTATGATTATTCTATTATAGGAGATCATGCTATATTGAAATTATCTACAATTAGAGATCATATTCAAAGATTATTCAATCAATCCAATCAATCATCAATCGATATTTATGATCACAATAATAATAATAATAATAGTTCAAATAAATTTTCTATTACATCTTCATCAATTATAGAATTATATATAACTGTCCATTCAACAATTCCAACAGAATTATCATCTAAAGAAGAAATAAATACATTGAAAGAATGTACATTATTAAAAGGTTCAGAAGGTCCTGGATCAAAACCAATTCATTTAACTGCATGTTTATTAATTATGGCAGCTGGTTCACTTGAAACAGCTTATAAAGTATTTGGTCCTAATCTTGCTACTAAACTTGGTATAGTAAGTTTATCGATTGATATTTTAAATGATTAGATTGTTATAACTTGTAACTTGAATACCCTGTTCATGTATAATGTGATAATAACGCCATTTAGAGAATAGTGATTTATCGATTGGATCAAGGACACATAAAACAAGTACGGGCAGTCTAGAGTCCTTATTGGTTTTTGATAATGATGTCATTCAGAAGGATGATGAAAGCTTCGCAACCAAACCATTCAACTCAGAGAACAAAACTTCATCAAAATCATCCACATAATCTACAAATCTCCAACATCTCAATAACAATAGCTTACGCATTTGAGTCTATCTTAGATATGTTGTCTCCTTAAGTTCACTTTAATTGGATAAAATTATTCACTTGCAATAATCGATTAACATAAATACTACAATGTTCAGATATAGCACTGATGTTGCAGACTTATCTTGTTTTCCTTATAAAGAGTTTTAATCTATCTAATACTGCCCTGGTGACTTATTGTTACTAGTGAACACCTCTCCCATTGTTCATTTTACTCAAGTTTCATGTTTATTTCTTCTTATATGATTACGTAATGATCTCTCTTTCTCTCACTCACTCACACACACACAGACATACTTATACAATCCTAAAATTAGATTACAAGTGTACCATTACAAGATCACCACATATGTGTTTTAAATAAGCATTTTACATTCATAAAACAGGAAGTTCAACGTTTCCCAGACTGTGAAGCTGAATCTAGTAATGTCAATTATCTGAATATTTCAAGTATATCTTGCTGATAAGTCTCATCTCACATTAGAAATGTTTTACTCCAACCATCTAATATATCAAAAATGTTATCTATAAAACACTAGATTTATATCAGTATATATAGCATCTTTGTTGAGTAAGCTTTCGAGAACTACAACGGAGCCTGCAGAGGCCCTAAAAGAGCTGAAGAGTTTCCATCCAATCAGAATATGATGGAGCTTTGTATAATATGAACATGGCATGCTACTATTGAAAATTGTTTATAACTTGTGGGTATATGCCTCTATCAATGTATAACGTAATGAGTCTGCCAATTAGAGAACAGTGACGCATAAGACACGTGCGATCAGTCGAGTCCTGATTGGTCCTGCTTTCCGCCTAGCCCAACCAGTTGACTCCAAAACATCAATCTCAGCCTCGGTGATATGAATCATTTATTTCAAGCATAATCGGTTTATATACCAGTCAGACAGACCACATCGTACCAATAAAATAGGAAACAACATTTTTACAAGATTTGGCCAAATGTGACTGTGAATAAGGGAGATGGTATTTGATAGATTGGGTATAACTCAAGAATGGTAAATCATAGAGTAACAGTTCATAGGTCAAAATAAGGTTCATAATAATAGGGATATGAATATGTACAGTTTAGTTATTTACCAAATATACAATAAAAAGATACGTATAGTATTTGTCCAGAAATAGATACAAACAGTTACTATTCATTATTCTCATGGAGACATAACATAGATAAATGAAATGATTTTGTTATTCTTTCTGGGAATTGATAGGGGGGTTACTATGGTTAAATTTGAATATGATATTGGAAGTTGTAGATTGATATTCTACTGGGGCCAAATATTTCATTCAATATTCCAGACTGTCATAGAATGAAACTTAGATTTGAAAGGTTCTACCATTTACCATGAATTATTCAATCTTAATTAAAGTGTACAATGATATGGTGTTAACTATTAGTGTGATAAAAAACATAATTTAAAACACGAAAATAAATCAAAACTAATAATTAGATAACATAACAATCAGTACTTATTTACTTACGCCTGTTACTCCTCGTGGAGAAGGATAGGCCAACCACAAGTATCCATCATCTAACTCTATCCTGTCCATTCCTTTCCAATTGTTTCTAGTTGCTAGTCAGTGTGTGCTCGTTGATTTTTGTCTCTTCCTTCCCCCTTCAGGATTCCAAGTTAGTGCTTGTATTGTGATGTATGTCCTATACACTTCCAGAGTCTTTTCTAACTTTCTCTTCATCCGGAAGCTGGTTTTTTCAGTAGTGAATCAATAGTGATTACTTACTAATAAATGTCAACATTATGAAATATACTTAAGATGTGAACAATTGATAATTAGTATTTTACTACAATCAAAGAAAAGTTATGAAGCTTTCCCTTTCTAACAGAAATTTCAATGTTCTTCAATCAATTTTTAACTGGAAGTATGAACGTCTTAACTCAGATACTGTAATGATCGATAACACAGGTGGTGGTGGGGGCCAACCAATGTATGTGAATACAAAATTACACAGTTCAATACTTCATTGGAAAATTGTTTATCGATTGTCTTAAACTACATTATTCCTTCATTTTCATAACAATTCCTCTCTGTTCTCATTCCCTTCGGATAGATCTTCCGAACTGTCTATTGCTACGTATTTCATTTCTGACTGATGTTATATACTACTTATGTCGCACAATACTTCTGAACTGATTAGCTTGATTGAGATAGTGGTAAAAAATAACAAATTGACACCTACACTCATACTGATAAAAATCAATACCTGTATAACACTCTGCAGCAATTCGGAAAACTCCATCGGCCTCCTACATTGTACGAGCATTCCATGTTCCTAAATTAATGGTTGCTTTGGTTATCAGATTGGGCATCGGCATTGTGACTTCCGAAGGAACTCGGCTTTCTCCATGAAGCGTCATCACTCTTCTAAATGAAAACCTTCTAACTCCCAGGGCAGAGTTTAAATGGTTCGAACTATTTTTTTAGTTAGAGTTTTCTTTAACGAGTTAGTTTTCTATGGGATTGGGTTGTTAACTCCATGCTCAACTCTCCTCCTTTTTCGAAGTAGCCCCAGAGGAACTCAAGGCATAGTTACTTGTATAACATAATAAAATAAATTTTTACCTCCATGTACTATATGTATTTTTTAAAATTTTACTCAATGTAATTGAACCAACGTAAACGCCTACTTTTAAAAGGAAAACAATTAGACATAGAATACATTCATAAACATGGTCATAACACACCAGTAATATTATTAGTTTACAGTTTGTATAATTATTTTCATCATTCAAATATTATGTTTTTCATTAAATAAAGAACTATTAGAAACCCCTGCAGATACTAGTCAGTATATGTTCACTAATGACTGGCTTCATGAGGTATTTCCTGGAATTCTAGTGAGAAGCAACCGCGTCTGTTGTGAGATAGTAACTCACTAAAGACAATGGTGAACATATCACTGAATTTCGTGAAATGGTTGAAGTTAGTCATTAACACCAATGGATGCCGGCCGACTCAGTTGTCTAGAGGTTAAGCGCTCGCTCGCGAGTCCGATAGGTCCTGGGTTCGATTCTGGCAAGGCCGTCCAATGGTTCCAGGTTTTCCATGGTGGTTTAGCTTCAATTGGCTCATGATTTCAACTATTACAATTATTATAATATTCCAAAAAATTCCTTCTGACAGTTATGAGAAAGACTTTTCTGTTAAAAATTTCATAAGAAAACAACAAGAAAATGAACTTAGTCCAAGTACTGTTATATGTATTTTGTCTTACTTTTCATTCACAATAAGAGATGATTATTTTATGTAGGTGAGCTGAGTCTTTTAATTATACAATTAATTTCAACTGAAATCCTGTGTACAATTAACCTCTTCTCATTAATCTAAGTGAAGAATTGCCTAGTTGATTTCTGATTTCAGCACATTTTTCATGAGCTTCTAGAGTTTCATGGTCGCTCACGATCCTATAAACACTCAGTATATTGTACATAAACTAGCTTTCAAAATAATGCTTCCTTTATACTTACTCTCCTGTATTGTATTCTGACTGAAGAATGAAAAACGTCTGAAGACTAGGACATGCATTGAAAATAGATGTTTAAGCATTCATGTACAAAACATCAGTCTACATACTATTCGCTGCTATTTATGTAATGCAATACTATTTAGTGGCCCGTGATCTGACTCCAATTTGATCGTAATGATTGGTTGCTATCGTCTATCCTCGTATATAATCATTGACTTAAATCGCGTTAGTTAATAACGGAATTAAATAAGTCAAATAACGAGAATGGAGTTTTGAATGCATATATTTTGTATAATTGTTGATTAGACAGAACGAACGGAGGAACGATGCGAAGATGAGAAAGCGAAGCTAAGTTGGCGTGTGGTGGAGATGGCTGGTAAGCCAACTCTCCCTTTAACAAAGAGTTAATCAATATTTATAAGCCCACAAAAATAAATTACAGACATGTGATGAGTAACGGGATAAGAAGTGTGCATACGCCTACGCGCTCATACAAAGACAGTCAAGACATTGATAAGCGAATAATTAACAAGGTCAGAATGTGACTCATATAGAATGAATAGAATGGGCTGTCCGAAAGTTAGAATAATAAGGTATTTGGGCTTAACATAATGACAGACACTACAAGTGATATTCACACTAAGACTAGAAGTCAATATCTTTCACTTCAAACACTAATATATTGCCCATTGAGTTACTTGGTAAAACGTTATTGCCTATCTAGAATAAGTAGCTCAATAGATAAAGCATTAATGTTTAAAGTGAATGGTATTAACATTTAAACACATTCTACTGAAGAGTACTAAATATAATGAAACACTTATCTTAGATTTCCATGATACATATAATCTTTCTGTTTGTATATATTCCAACCAACAATTCATATGCATAACATCGTAAGCCTCTGTACATCATAAGATTTATCATTAACGTTTATGATTAAAAATATATTTTGAAAGAAAGTTAACATTGAAAGAACTTAGAAGAAACTAATCCTGATTAAATAACACCTTTAAAACAATTCATATTAAAATAAATGAAAGTATTATGTAACATTGAACTAAAAAGATGATAATTCATATCCTATAGTGATACAGTAGATTCATTTTAAACAATCAGTAACTTACTAACTTACTTACTTACACCTCTTACTCTTCGTCGAGGAGCATAGGCTGCTTGCCAGCACTCTCCATCCAA